AGCTGATAAGGAGACCAGAGAAATACTGAATTCTGATACAATAGGGAATATAACAGGGATTGCTGTCTGCAGCATTCTTTATTGATCTGGTACAGATAGACCCCATTATTGCAGTGGAATGGTGGGTTTGAGTACTATGAATGTGCCTATTGAGCGTTGGCCACTTATGTGCTACACAAACTGATTTGCAGAATATCAGTATGCTTCTCATAGTTGCTGTTTGTTTGCTTGATTTTTGTTTTGTTACCTGCTTCTGCAGCCAGCTTGTGGTCAGGCCATAGGATGGTGTGCTCCGTGCTAGGCTATGATTAAATTATTACTGTTATTGTGAGGTATCAAATGTATAGCATCAGAAGTTACATTAATGCTTACTGAAGTACTTGCTTTAGGTCAGCAGTTACTTGATGCTTTGCTGCATGATGGCTGGGTTAGATGATCTTAGTGCTCTTTCCCAACCTTAATGATTCTATAAATTGTAACCAAACAAAAAGGCTGTATTACTTTCTTCCCCTTTTTTGAATTCATTACAAAGTATCTGCTCAAAATCAATATTAATTATGCAGAATTTGTGGCCCTCTTTAGCAAATGCTTAAAAATTGTTAAAAAATTAATGTGCAGGTTAATAGCCTGATTTAGAGCAACATTAAGCCTGGGTTAAATGTTTTTGTGTAGACTTTTTTTTGACAAAATTGCTCTCTGATGTTGACGTAATTACTACCACAGTACTTATGATACGTTGAGCAAGAAAGATCTTTTGTGTTTGAACTCAGCAGTCCTGTTCCACCCGGCTGTTCATAAAAATGGCTTCTCACAAGGTTCAAACATAAGCTAAACAAAAAAGGAGGGAGCAGTTTCTGTGCAGCTGTTGTGCTGTCTCCCTTCTGAATAGCAGCAACAAGTGCAGTATGTGCCTTGTGTGCCTGCTGAGCCCCTGGAAAATTTCCCTAGCCAGCACCTATAGTCTTAAATTGTGATGCAGGAGAGGCAGGCACAGCAAAATTCACAACCTTATGGCTGGGTGCTTGGCTTTGCCTTTGTGACTGCCACTCCTGATGTATGCTTTTATTTTTTGTTACTTTTGCATTTTGTAGTTCTAAGGGTCATTCAGGAGCCCTAAAAGAGACGTTTTCAGTTCAGTGTAACATGACATCAATAGTTCTCATGCATTTTGTTTTGATCATGTATAGCTCAAATTTGATTTCTTGCTTACATTTGAGAAGATGAATTAATGTGCAGAACATGTCCCTGGCTGGATGAGAAATGAAACATTTTGACATGAATGTTTCTACACTTACACAAAAAGGAACTCACTGGCATGCCGACATTTGCTCATGAACATGATGAGTAGCTGGTGAAACTTGATTGCTCAAATGCTCATGAAAAAGTAATTGCAAACAGTATTTGTTCAAGTGTTAAAATATTCCAATACTTAACACAAAAGTATGGGTGGAATTTGCTAACCCTGCCTTTCACTCTAGTTTGTTCACATTAAATATTTTGTGTATTCGGAAAGCTATCAGAGATTTGACAGGGAAATGTAATGGAAGAGAGTCTGTCTGGAGAGGGAGAGGGAGAGTAAAGCAAGAGTTGTGCTTCTGAGAGGAGAAAGTTAACTATGAGGAGAGGAAGTGGGAAAGATTGAACAGAGCTCATGGAGAGAAGAAGCTACAGCTACTGAAGAATTGGCAAGTGAAACACATACGACTTCATTTGGAGAAGGCAATGATGTTAAAACATAGTGATGCATTTCACAATGCATTCTTTTCTATGTCATGTTTTCTTCATGTTGCATGCTAATTGTACTCCTTACAGTAAGCTTTTAGTCTGTGTAAAACATGGAACTACTCTTGGCCACTTCATGTGTTTTCACATACCTTTTACACAAGAATGAAGTGGGTTTTTCATGGAGGAGCTTGTAGAAGGCATTATGACAGTGCAAAATTTCTGGAGAATGCAGGGACGTCATCTGTTATTGGGATGAAAAAATCTCCGACCTTTCTGTGCTGGAGTTTTTACTTCTCATTTGTGCCTCCTTGTAATGGCATTTCTGGGTTTGAATAAAAATCTTGTAGTAATGATCATTGCTTTCTGCTTGTGTACCTGTGAGTGTACCGTGGCAGAAGCATAAGCTTTGTACAGCAAGGTGCTGATGTAACTAATAGCATGTTGTGATATGAAGACTGGACTTCCTTCCAGAAGTTCCTAATATTTAAGCATTTAATTTCTGTAATGTTATCTTTCTTTTACGGATACTTTTCTTAAGATAACTCCTAGGTCTTTTTTCTCTTCTTCCAAAATAAAAATCACCTACGTGTGCGGATCTTTTGTCCATTACAACATTGCACACTTTCCCACGTGAATATGAGGAGTAATGGTGGCAACAGCAATCCATGATCTACCAGCAAAAAGGAAATAAAACCCAAAAATAGCTTACATTGCTCTTTGACCTGTAGGGAAAAGCTTGGATCTGTGAATTTCTGTTCTATATTCCCTGTTCTACTAGAAAATGCGGTTTTGTGGTTAGTGGCAATGTGGCCATAACTGCAGGCAGTATTGGTGTGCAACCAACAACAGATCCTGGCAGTGAGGTGGAAGAAAGGATATTAATCTCTTTTTGAAGGGTCAAGTCTTGGTAAGAAATGCTGTGAAGTACCCCAGATATTCACAGGTGTATCATTCTGTAGTCTTCCCTGTGGAGATTCGGCTTTGTACATAATATAAAAAGAAGGTTTATTTGAGAAGCAGAGCATGGTCAGTGCAGCAAGCGGAGAGGTAGCTGCTGTATCAGAGTAAGATCATTGTGGTGGTAATTATGTTGAATGAGAGTAATTGTTTAGTGTATTACCTTAGTTAAGCTGCTACTGCAGCAGGGAGCTCAGGCACAGCCTGGTGCTTGAGTTAGCTGGGACACTTGGGCTCATAGCAGTTCATGCTTTTGCTCCAGGGTAGCATATCAGTTACTAGAGGGACAGCTGCTTATTCATGTTTAAGCCCACTTTCTGTAGGCTCGTCAGCTTGTCTTAAGCACTGCTAACTGTATCTTTCCTCTAAATTATTTTCCATACTGTTCTCTGGCCCTGGATGCTCTAGATGTCTCCTAAACAGCAGTCACTTGTGTTTATAAAAGAAGATACTGGTAATATCCAGCACACAATATGATCTTGAAGCTAGTGTTGATAGGATGAAATCTGGACAAATTCTAACTACTTTGAATAATCTTCCCATATCGTTGCTGTGAGTTATCATTCCTGGGATGGATTCTCTACTGAAGGTGCTGTGCATCTTCTGCTTGATGCTGAGCGCTCTGCTCTTTTCATTTTGACAGAAGCAAAGGATCACTCAGCACCTACCAGGATGTGCTTGCATAACAGTTATTAAATAATTTAGTTAGAACAGTGTATTTGTTTTCCAGCAGTGGGCTTCTAGTTTTGCAATTTCCCATTTTTCCAGGGAATTATTATATGGTATAGGTATTACATGCAACCTACTAGGCAGAAGCTGTCTTCTTTTCTGAGTAATTCCCTATGTTTTTCCACAAGTATATAGATATTTCATTTGATCCTTTGCAGCCTCCCTTTGTGGCATGTGCTTATTTATCAGTGCCTTTTAGATCCTTTTTCTACTTGGTAACGTTCGTATTTTTGGTCCCTTGGTTACTGCTTTATAAATTATTATCCAGTTAGATTTATAACTGTAAGACTTGTACAAATAGTCTGTCTCTCTCATTTAATGCCTTAACACTGTGATATCTTTGTTATTGTCTAACGAAATTTTGTGTGTAATTTCTAGACAAATTTTTGCAGGTGTGTCATGAAAATTTAGGTCAGCAACAGAACTCCATCTGATAGGCTGCCAGTGGCAGTGCACTAAGCACACAGAACTTTTTCTGAGTGTATAGATAGTGTACCCACTACAGCTTTACAGAGGCTTAACTTCTGTGCAACCAATTTGGAATCCCTTTGTTGGGGGACTGTAATGTAGTACCATGTTAATTGCTTATTTGTTTTTTTTTTTTATTGACTCGTTATCTCATTTAAATGCACAAGGATAAATTTAATTTAGTTAAATTTAATTTAATGTAATTTCTGTGTAGCAGTAGGGTCACGTGGAAAAGGCGGTATATACTTTTTTTTTTTTTTTTTTTTAATTCTATTAGCATTTTTATAACTTTTCAGTTCATTCCCTACTCTTCCTAAATCCCATGCACCTACTTTTAAAATAGGGTTTTGAAGTCATTACTTTTATATCTCATTTTTGTGTTTGGATCTGAAGTTTAAAAAAAGCAGTCATCCATAATGTATGTAGATACACCCAGATAGTCCCGTGTGTTGTGGATCGAGCATTCTGATCCTATCATTTCAGCATTAGCAACAAGCATTTTCTATTTGCTTTTGAGAATTATTAGTAAGATTAATGACATTTTCATCCCTCTCCTAGCTTTTTATTTGGATAGGTGGTTTTTACAGACTCTTTGTGATAGGATTTCACTTAATAGATTTAAACAGACTCCGTCCTGCTGATAAGATTCTTGCTCCTCATCCAAAACAACAACAGCACTGCAGAATCATCTCCTACTCTGTTCTTGGGACTGAGTCAATAAGGGTTGGGTGGCAGGTTGTCATCATGACTGCTTCAGGCTTCCTGTATCTATTATGGAGCAAGATCACAGATCTCAATATCATTTGTGAAAATTATTTTGAATGGAGGTGAAGAAAAAGCTCTTCAAAGGAGGGGAGGATGTTTGTTCCTAAATGTCTGTTACGCTGACTTCTGTGAGTCTCAGGAGAGTGAGGAGAAATAGCTCAATGTTGCTGACTATATGGTGATATTCTGACAGAATCTCCATCTCTACGCTGTTATTGTGTGTATTAATGGCATTTTAAAAAACAGCAACAAACCTGAATATTGGTTGTTTGATGATCATTCCCAAATAAAATATAAAATTTATCTTAAAAGTGTTTTACCTATAGAGTAATTTATTAACTTTTATGGTCTTTCAGCGTGAGAAACTGATACATGAGTTGGAGGAAGAAAGACATTTAAGACTCGAGAGTGAAAAACGATTACGGGAGGTAACACTGGAGTCAGAGCGTAACAGAGCTCAGATGCGTGGTCTACAAGAGCAGTTTTCCAGGTATGTTGAATAAGTGAATTCTGCTTAAAATACGGGAACATGCTTTGGTTCAGAAAGACTGATCAAACCTCATGACCGCTTGAATGGAAGGCATCCAAGCCAAAGAACTGCTTTCCCTCTGAAATTTGGTAAGCTTAGCAGTCATTTGGCTGAATGATTGCTACCACAAGTTCAAACGTAAAAGCTTGCATTCTGCATAATGGTGAACATTTTCATTTCCAGGATTTTGTAGTGGTTAAAACTCTGTTAAGTTGTAAGATGTAATGCTCTTCGCTTCTTAGAAAGTGCGTGTCATTGGTAAGTTCCTATTTGATTGTTTGTTTCTGTTAACCATCAGCAAAGATTTTGTTCAATCTCAGTAATGGCAAAAAGCAAAACCAAACATATGTGTTTTACCACCTGGGTAATCATCCTGCTTCTATGAGCTTAGGGTCTCTTCCTCAGATAGGATAGAGCTCCTCTGGAAAGAGAACCACATTACCTATGCTAATACAGGATACTACTTTTCATTAATGGCACCTGTAGTTGGCCATGTGCTTGCCAATTATGAAAACTGCCATTGGTTTCATTGTGCTCTGATTTTATTGTAGTGTAGACTTGATGTTAGAAGGAGAATGCATGGCTTGGAATGCTTTGTTTGCTTTTAAAAGCTTATGTTTGTCATGATAAATATTAGTGATTTTTTTTTTCTGACATTTGGTAGAATATAAAGATATTTGCTTATGCAAACAAACTTTTTTTCCTAAAACAGTGTATTTGTCTTAGCCAGTTGGAGCAAATAATGAAACAGGCAACTAGATAATCTTGTACTGTTTAAAGATGCTATATCATTTGAACAATTTGATGCTTTTTTCCCCAGTGTGAGAATAATTAAATGAGACAAGACAGGTGGTGATAGGATATGTTAAAATCAAGAAAATTGCATGAACTTTGGAAGAGGATGGATAGACAATAATACTCTGGGCCCAAATGTTCTGCATTTCAGGTACAGATAGACTGAAGTGAGAACATAGATTATAGAGTAAGTCTTTTAAATCTGAGCAATTCATGAACTGAATGCATTTAAATAAACATTCCTAAATATACATGCAGTACAGTAGGTTAAAGTGTGATTTGGAGGATGCTTCTTTGCATTTCAATTATTTTCTGTGCATCTGTGAAAGAATAAAACACGATAGTTTATGGAAAGCTGGAAGTTGATCTTTGTAATCAGGCGAGGAAAGCTGTCTGCTCCTATGTGGAATTGTGTGGCTTTAATCTATCAAATAAGCATAAAGTTTGAGATTGAGGACTTCAGAAGGCAAGTTGTTTCGGTTTTTTTATTGATTGACGTTTCCATTCATATCAAGTAAGCAATATTCCAGGCTGAGAGTCTGAAGTAAATCAAAGTTTTCTTTCTTAACATTTGTATAGATCTGCCAAAGTCTTAAAATGACACAATGGTTAGTTTGATAAATATGTGACTGTTACTGTAGAACAAGAAAGCTTTTGAAACTTATTTTCCAGAATTGCATTGTGGTATATCCATGCAATTCTAAATTCGTTCTCTAATTTTACTGGATGTGAACATATTTAAGGTGTGCAAAGATGCTGCAAGAAAATTACTTAATGCTGAAAGTAGGATTTTTCACTGTATTTGAATGCAGTAATTTTTAAATTGTCATAGTATAGTCTCACCTTGAGGTGAAGACTTTGGTGCTTTCTCTCTTAAAACCACTGAGATCTGTTACTTTTCTGGAGTTACTCTTTTATTTCATGTGAGGCCCATTTTGGCATGAGAAGAATGTTGTACAAATGCACAGTGACTAACCCTGTAAGTACCTATCATCCAATTACTTCCAAGATAGTGTCATGCGGTCTGACTTTTCCATTTTGAATATTGGCACCTCTCATGTATGTACAGCAGGTTGGCATTCGTGTTGGTATTATGCCTGCTGCATCTTTATCCAGCTCTGGAAAAAATTGGGTCAGTTCATGATTTTTTGATTGGTTGTAGTTTAGCATTAGTTCCTCCTGTGACTTCTTTTATATGGCACATTGGAGAGCAGCATGCAACTACTGCATCTCATGCATCTGCTTGTTCTCAGTTTCATCTGTTCTTTTCCTGGTATCTGCATCTTCCTACAGCAGTAGGAACAGAAACACAACAACCCTGCCTGAAGCAATAGGTGTGATTTACAGTATTGCTCTAAAAGGCCAGTGATAGAGCATAAATTAATTACATCTCTGTTACATATCAGTAAGTAATAAAATCGTTTTTTGTTCAGCACATACAGCACATGTGACTCCAGATAGAAAGTAAATGTTAAAGCAGTAGAAGAAGAGGCTTTACTTATATTGTTTTGATTACAATTCTGTTTTAAATGGAACAAGTTCAATAGAACACACTGTTACAAAGTGTATTTTGTATTTTTACACAGTAGTTGAAGAGAGTAGTGTTAAGTCTTTGAAATCCCCCTTGGGTAAATTGTACAAATTCTTTCACTGAAGATGATGATGTTTATGGATATCAATGTCTGTGGCTGGAGAGCAGCGTTGGGCTTTTAAGGACAGATGTTACTGCAATAGTAGAAAATGGTCCTTGTTTGATCTGCCTGGGTCCTGCAAATGAGATGAGTGTAATACTCATTAGAGTGTGCTTCACCATGCCCCTCGCATTAATACTGACCGTAGGGTTAAGCCTGTCACTTCTGGCAAGGCGAAAGGTGACTGCTACAAATCCGATAATACTTTGTGTAAAAAGACTGTGTGTCCATTACTTTAAGCATTTGGTTTTCCTCCAGCAATTGCTGCTTCGGGTGCTCAGTTCCAGCTTGTCTGCATGTAGAGTGGAAAGGATGATTATTTTCCTAACATTTCTGAAAAGGAGATCTTTCACGTTTGCAACATCATCACCTCATGATTTCTAACACTGTCACATCTGCTTGGTGGGAGAGTGCTAGAGGACAACACCTGCTTGTCAGAGAGACCTTGCTGCTTGGCAACAATCTGGATACAACAGGAATTATTTCTGGAAAGTCTAAACCTGAGGGTGCCTCTTTAGCTTCTGCAGCCAGTCAGCTTATCTTATGTCCATTGAATTCCAATTTATACCATTAATAAAATTTCAGTCTAGTTCCTGGCAGGGTAAAATGCTCTCCTGGCAGACATTGCTGGTATTCCTTTGATTTTGTCATAGCAGGGATGAATGCAGTACTGTGGAGAAATTCACTCCTTGTCTCAGAGAAATATTGCAGAAGGAGCTGTGGTTCTGCCGAAATCTCTTATCCTCCCGAGTGTACGTAAGGTTCTTGGGGATCAGATTGTCACCAAGGTATCGTTTATGCCAGTGGCTGACCCTGTCATACTGGCCTAAGCTTTTAGATACCTTTAGCCTTTATTCAGTGTGGCTATGTGAAATGTAATGTCAGAAAGTAATGAGTAAATATAAAACAAAACCTGATATCAGGTTCATGAGCATCAATAGTGGAGCTGCTGCTAGGCAGAGCACTTTCACTGGAGGAGCATTTAGCTACTTGATGGACATCCTAAGGGTGTGGTAGAAGTAAAATTGTAAAGAACTCTTTCACCTTTTGCATAAGATAGTGATCCTGGCTTTTGATTTGAAGTGACGGAGGAAAAGGATGATATATATTTCTTTTAGATTAATGCTGATAGGATGAGCATATTAGTATTTTTATTTGTGTGCTTGTATAATACTTGGGTACGTATTTCATCACAGAATCACACAGAATCACAGAATCACCCGGGTTGGAAGGGACCTCAAGGATCATGTAGTTCCAACCCCCCTGCCTAGCAGGGCCACCAAACACACACATTCAGATCAGGTTGCCCAGGACCCCGTCCAACCTGGCCTTGAACACGTCCAAGGACGGGGCATCCACAACCTCCCTGGGCAGCCCGTTCCAGGGCCTAACCACTCTCCTTGTAAAGAACTTCCCCCTAACATCCAACCTAAATCTTCCCTCCTTCAATCCCTCATCCTCACTCAGCAGTGTCAAGCATCTTTAAGTAACTTTTAAGTAATACTCTCATGAATAGCTCTCATGAAGCAGAAAATAAAGATTTTTTGTGCTTTTTCTTTTTAATCAAACTCATAATCGGAAACCCAAAAAGGAGGTTACCCCAGGCTGTATGGGGAGTATATTCCCACTCAGTTCATAGGCTAGTTTGAATTAAAGCAACCATTTAACACCAGTTTCAGGTGTTCTACCAACAGGCAGAATTTAGGAATCTTTTAACTCTTCATCAGGCTTCACTATTTTCAAGCTTCTGTTCTGTGGCTGCTACAAACCATCTGATTGAACTATGCATATTTTCACAACGAAGTTGATAAAAAAAGCAAACAGTGATGTCAGAGTAACTGCAGAGTACTGAAGAATCCATAAACTCAAAACACAGAAGTCATGCAGGGACCAAAAGTTTTACAAGACTACATTGCATGATATATACTGGTTTATGTAATACTTTTAGAAAGCAACGGGTTGCTTTGCATCAGGCATTATTGAAGACACATGTAGAGGTACATGCAGCTCCTGAACTTCTGTGAACTCCTCAGTCACTGGAGCTACATTAAGAGCCAGCTTGTTTCAGTACCCCAACACGCTACTAAGTCATGTGGTGATGTTTCATGACAGCTCTTAGATAATGAAAGCTTCTTTCAAAAGTAAATACGTAATCTTGTCTTCCACAGCCAAAACACAGGGATCTGTGTGCTGGGAAAAAGCTGCTTATTTCTGTGCTGACAGTATGTGTCTTGTGTTTCTGCAAGGTTGAATCTATTGCCCGTTACTGATTTATCAGAGCATGAAATGATACTGTTTCCTCTGTTTTCCTGTGTAGCACTACAATTTAATAGGATGAAGTGTTGTTTTTTTTTCTTTTGCATAATGTAATAGATATGTACCAAAGCAGTAGTAGGCAGTTTACCCTGTGTATGGTAAAGAAAGGTAAAGGAACGCCTAGCAAAGAAGGAGCATATTAATGTTTTCACCACAATT